GAAGACTGGAGTCATGATGCTGAAAATTCAACTTTGATCACAGCAATAAATTACATTTTAAAAATATATTCACATGGAAAACAGTTGTTTTAAATTCTAATAATATTTCAAAATTTTACTGTTTTTATTTGTTTTAAGAAATGCAGCCGATATATTCACATGGAAAACAGTTGTTTTAAATTCTAATAATGTTTCAAAATTTTACTGTTTTTATTTGTTTTAAGAAATGCAGCCGAGCATTAACAGGCATAACATTAAAATCTTCCCGACCCCAAAGTGTAAAATTAATTTAAAGTTTTTTTGTTTTGTTTTTTGACATTTTCAGTTTTACATTTTTGTACATGTATATATATTTCAAAATTGTTGTACTGTTGCTAAACTTTTAAACCAAATCAAATCATGTCAATAAAGGTTTTCATTCTGACAACATGCCCCACTTTAGGGTCAGTGTGTTGAGTGAGAATAGCTGTTTTGTAGTCAAGACATAAAAATAAATAAACTCAGTCTAACCAAAGAAACATTCACTTACACACACACACACACACACACACAGAGTAGTGTGTACTGTGACATCTAGCCCCATTCTCACATCATTTGTGTTTGATGTACACCTGTGTGCATCCAGTTGCGCCGGAAACGGCTTGAAAGTACTCTAGTTGAATCAATCAATATATTCTAACGGTAAAATTAATACATTCTGATGCAGCTTGAATTTAGCGGAGTATAAATGTCTTTGTGATCCCATTCATACAGTTCACATAATAGTGTTCATACTCAAACATCCCTATTTGATGTATTTATATTTCAAAACCATTATTTCAATGCAACATAACTTAGTGCACTAATAATACATTATTAATATAATAAAAATATCAATATTATTAGGAAAAAAACTAATTTTAGTAAAAGACAGCTGTGTTGAGTTATTCTGTTCATTCTGCTGGAAGTGTTTTGCATCCTGTTGCATTTCTGAAAAACAGAGTCTGAATGTTCAGTGTGTTCAGGAAATGCATTTTAAAGCATGTCATGAAGATCAATAAGCCGAACTGAAACAACAGAACATTTCCCAGGTTAAAATGATAAACTATAATTAGATTAGTTCAAAAGAAAAACACATACTGAATGTTTGTAACTTTACAGCCTTTGCACAGAGAATAAAATGAAGAACCAAAATAAGAATCAGAAGGAAGATATAAAGAAGAATATGATTTTTAAAAAATATATATGAAGATAACAAATAAGAACAATAAAGAAATCAATATTTCAATGTGTTTAAACATTAAACACTGAAATTATAATCAAATCAAATATTAAGTCCAAGTGCTATTTGTATTCAACATATCCCTGTTGAAAAAAACAGCATATGCTGGTTAGGTATGTTTTGACGCTGGGATGCTGGTCCTTTGCTGGTTTAAGATGGTCCTTTGCTGGTTTATGCTGGTCCTTTGCTGGTTTAAACTGGTCCTTTGCTGGTTTAAAATGGTCCTTTGCTGGTTTATGCTGGTTTATGCTGGTCCTTTGCTGGTTTAAGCTGGTCCTTTGCTGGTTTATGCTGGTCCTTTGCTGGTTTATGCTGTTCCTTTGCTGGTTTATGCTGGTCCTTTGCTGGTTTATGCTGGTTTAAACTGGTCCTTTTGCTGGTTTATGCTGGTCCTTTGTTGGTTTAAGCTGGTCCTTTGCTGGTTAAACCAGCAAAGGACCAGCTTAAACCAGCAAAGGACCAGTTTAAACCAGCAAAGGACCAGCATAAACCAGCAAAGGACCAGCATAAACCAGCAAAGGACCAGCATAAACCAGCAAAGGACCAGCATAAACCAGCAAAGGACCAGCATAAACCAGCAAATGACCAGCATAAACCAGCAAAGGACCAGCTTAAACCAGCATATGCTGGTTTTTTCAACAGGGATGTGTGAGCAACATAAATGAGAAGATGTGCAACACACACGTTGGACTGAGCGAAATTGTATTATTCTTCCTCTAGATGGATGGGTCAGAAAATTACTAGTCCTCCATTCAAAAACCTCCGAACATTTGTGTCACACAGGCATTCATATAAATGCCAAGGATTTATACCTGACATGCAAAATTCTACCCTGACTGAAATGTCTACCAAAAAAATCTTATGTAGTAATTACAACGACTGCGATCAGTCCACATTGACAAGCGCTGAGAAAAGTACCAGCTACCACGTGACAGCAGCGGTTTCAAGCAGAGCTCAGTAACACATTTGTTAATAAATAGAACCATTACTAGACCCATTCTACTTTCGAGAGAACATTCACTGCACTCATTCCTGTCCGGTTTATTAATCATGTCTATGTATTGGATAAAACAATCAGGCACTTACATTTATTCCTTGTAAGTGCTGTTATCTGCGCATAACCGCTAGATGGAGCTGTGGGATTAAACATTGTAGTATAAACTCAGCCTGCTTCCGTTATTAAAACGGTTTGCGCTGATATAACGACATTAGTGCAGCCACGTGTCTGCGTGCTCATTATGATTCAAAAGCGTATAACATGCAAGCATGATGTATAAAATATTACTACCCCTTAAACGAATGAACAATCAGTGAGAATTTAGAATATGCTTATACCACAATCTTGTATGTGAAATGCATTGGAAGGGATCAATCTATAACAATGCATTGCTATCTAAGCACTCATCATGGATAACTAGGTTTGCAGTATGAAACATTTACACTGTGAACAGGAAGCAGTTTTTCTGTATGCATGGCATGTGCTGCTAATCCCGCAATGCAATGCGCTCGCCTTGACCTTTACTTTCCCGCCTAACGAAGGAAGCGTAAGTAATTACAGCTGCGATTTTACCATCTCTTTGAGCCTACAGTGTCCTATATTTGTGGAGTGTGCAATTATTCCATTTCAGGCAGCCTAGGTGTTTCTCTTTGGGTTGGACACCATTAATCCTGAGAAGAACAAACTTGCGACTCGTAATTTGCAGTTCATGCAATTTTCCATACTGCAGCAGAGAAACAAATGCCTGTAGAGTCCTCCAGTCTAGTCTAGCCCTATCAGTTGTGCAATTGTGGATAATACCGATTACTACAGAAATGAACTCATTTTTGCAGGTTACAGTGATGTAGTGACAATGCAAGCAAACGGGACATGCGCTGAAAATTTACCAAAAGAAACGTGAGACTCGAGTTTGTATTGAAGCACTTACCTGAGTTTTGAAAACTTTTTTTGGTTGTGCAAATCACTTCTGTGGTGATATTACAGTTCTAGAATAGATGAACGAACACTAGTTGCGTCACCAATGTAATGCATAAGGATTTGGTCCTGTTAGGAATCTTGGGTGCTTTCACACCTGTAGACACTGCAAAGTTTCTAAACGGACCAAAATTGTTAATACAAGTCACGTGCGAGTAAACAAATGAACTCATTTTTGCAGGTTACAGTGATGTAGTGACAATGCAAGCAAACGGGACATGCACTGAAAATTTACCAAAAGAAACGTGAGACTCGAGTTTGTATTGAAGCACTTACCTGAGTTTTGAAAACTTTTTTGGTTGTGCAAATCACTTCTGTGGTGATATTACAGTTCTAGAATAGATGAACGAACACTAGTTGCGTCACCAATGTAATGCATAAGGATTTGGTCCTGTTAGGAATCTTGGGTGCTTTCACACCTGTAGACACTGCAAAGTTTCTAAACGGACCAAAATTGTTAATTCAAGTCACGTGCGAGTAAACTTTCCTCTCATTGGTCAAAGTTCCACGGTTTATTTTCCGGAATTCTGCTCATAGCTGTCATCCGTCAGGATGGAACTACAACAGCTTCGAGGGCTTATTGTTGGGTTTTTTGTAGCTGTCGTTATATTAATTTATCATTTTGAGCAGGAGTCCAGGATTCGTCAGGGAAACATTGTTAAAATGCACCTACTACGAAGAGCAATAAGACGGAATTATAAAATGAAAAGGCGCGCTTTGATTTTGAACGGCAAAGACGTGCTCACCCACAGACATCGTCTACTGCTTTTCACGGAACTAATTACCCATCATACATTGTGATATAGCCTGGTCCGTTGAATCGGATTGCTTTCTCACTACAACCGAACCGCTCCAGAGTTCATTTTCAATCGAGCCGAGACCAGCTCGTTCAGGCGATCTCGGACCGATTGATTTGGCGCGGATTCGAGCGTGATTGCCGTGTTCACATATGCCCAAACGAACCGAGCTAAGGGGGGAAACGCGCCAGGTTCCGAAACAACGAGCCAGGTGTGAAAGCACCCTTAATGCATATTCAAATTTGGATCATAACGTTAAGAATTATTGGACAGCAACTATGCACAAATGGTTTTTGACAGATTGCATCACAATAACTGAACATGTATTACATTGAAGTCTTGTGGCTATACTTGCAAATCAGTGGCATTTGAACATTTAACATTTTACTTCCATTATAAGTGCTTTACTACTACCTTTTTTTAAAGAGAGATTCATCAAAATGTTTTCTATGGTAATTAGCAATGCAACAAATGCAATCTGTAGAGCTTGACGTGTATTAAATTCATGGACCTCCAACTACATGATTATAAAAGTCGTTATAAATGAATCAATCACAAGCGTTTTACCAAGATTTAATGTACATTTATTCTTAACACGTGGAACATATAGTATAAAGATTTCATACGGAATAAATGATATTCATTAAGCCAAAAAAGGGGAAAAAAGGAATTTACAACAAGTTTTTAGCTACATCATCTGAAATACAAATATGAATCCATAGCACTGGAATCGACTAAGGAAACCGCTGGGAAAGAGGGGAAACCAAACTCGTTTACTGTATCTGTTCCGGTGAATGATGATGAAATCGTTTGGAGTAATGGACTTGTCTGGTTTGATATATGCCTCTACAGCTTTAACGAAAGGAACTGAAATGTTATGTGCATGGGATCGTAAGGGCAGAAGATTGCATCCCTACATCCAGAGATGTAAGGAGAGGAAGGTGGTAAATAAACACATGGCAATGCGCAATGAGAGATCTGTAGAGTGAAACCTTTAATTCGTCAAAGATTAAAAACGGTGAAGAGCGCCATAAGATGAGAGAGAGAGAAAAAGAGCAAAGTGTAATTTACAACATCATTATATACACTGCAGCCTGGACTGCATCTAGAGCTCAAGACCAGTCCTAAGAGGTGATTTCTTGAAGGGTCAAGTCATACAATCGAGGGACAAAGAAGAGGTCGGGGTGTTGTAGGTTCACGTTACTTTGGGGGGAAAGCCATTTTTTCCTCTCTCAACATGAACTAAAATCATCATTTTTAAAAACTACAGTTTTTTCGCTGCCAAGCCAGCATTATCTCAGTGTGAAACAGTATTGTTACAGTATGTTTACAGTTTAAAGGTGTACAGTACAGAAAAAAGTCCTACAATCTACTGCACAGGCCTCCCATTTACATGTCTGTTCACAGCCAACGACCTGGTTCCTTTAGGGCTAAGTATATATATAATCCAAGTTACAGCAATTTATACCACACACCAGAGTTGAGAGTCCATTTAGCCTCCAAGAACCAGATAATGGTCGTCTCCGTGCCCATCCTCACCCAGAAGGTGAACACGGGCACGGTTTTTCCCCAAACTCACTGTAAACGTGACAGCAACTTTGGTTACAGTTTTGTTTTTGTTTTTTTGTCTTTTTGTCATTATTTTTCCTTACAAAAAAAGTCCAAAGGGCAGCACACTCTTGCAGGCGAGGATCTCGATCGGCACATCCGTGTTAGTTTAATTCTTATCCATACGTGTTAAATCCGTCGCGACTTATATCCGTCCTTGAGAGCGAAGCAAGGGTAGACAAGGACAAACAGTGGAATCTGAGGTGATTTTGCATAAATAAAAAAAAATGAACATACAGTCAGTCAGTTTCACTGTTAAATTTTCTCCACTCGCGCAGACACACACACACACACATTAAAAAAAACGAGTGGGGGAAAAACATGATCACCCCCACGGCTGTCATGACTGGCCAATCAGAAAAAGTACGTCACAGATTACATGGGACACCAAAGAGTTCATGAGCGGGGACACCGATATGTCCAGTAGCCGTGACTCATACAGCCTGAACTCCGAGTGGTTCTCTTCCACTTTGGCAAGAGCGTGCAGGGCACGTGCCGCCCGCCGCATCATGTCCACACTAGTGGGCTCGAAGTGCGGACCCTGTAAGTGCATCAACGAGCCCTGACTCTGTTGGAACTGGGTGGCTGCAAGACTGTCCTCCAAGAAGCCAAGAAGGTTTCCAACACTGCCTTTCTGCACAGCGATAGCCCGGGCCGCGACGCTGTCGCCTTGCGCCAGGTTCGCTAGCAGCACCACCGCCATCTCCCGGCAGACGGGCACTTTGCGGTCGCCGACCATGCGCACGAGGAAGCCGTAGAGCTTCTCAAGGCGGCTGAAAGGCGGCGTAGCCAGAATGAGGTCAACATTGTTATCCTGGATGCTAAGCTTGCTGAGGGTTTCCAGGACAAGTCTCTGGGGAGACAGTGTCCCGTTGAGCCCCAACGTGGGGAAAGGGTCGACGGCTTCCGCCGAAGGGCACACGGCCCAGTGGAGCAGGCCATCCAGCAGCGGCAGGCAAATACTTTCAGGGTAGATGGACAGGTCCAGCTGGCCTGAGATGTTCGCTAACGTGACCAAGCAGTTTTCCCGCAGAACCTCGAGACAGTCCCACCACCACTCGTCTCGCTCGCAGCTGACCCCTTCGTCTTCCTCTTCCTCTTTCTCATAGGTAACCGGGGCCTGCTTGCGTTCAGGATGCCAGTGGTGCAACAGCACCAGCCGGCCAAGTAACAGCAAAAGTCCTGGATGCTTCGACATCTCCAGATCATTGCCAGGAATGAAGGAAAGGCTGCGAATGATGTTGGAAATGCAGATGCAGCGGCGAGCGAGAGAGTCCTGCCAATTCGAGAACATGCAGAGCGGGGTCTCATCTTTGCTGTGCGGCTCGTCCTCTAAGATCTTGATATTACGACTCCGTTGCGCAAGGTCAATGCCAAAGAGAAACGTATTATTCTCCTTGTCGCCATCTTGGTTGCCTCGGACCGCTTCCTCCGTCACAGAGCCTTGCCGAGCCAAGAGTACGTCATCGATGGTGGCCGTTATACTCATCGACGTGCTTGCTGTTGTAGTGCTTTTACCTTCGGACGATGGTTGGTCTGGGGATGGCTGAGGTTGTACTTGCTGATGCTCTTCGTTTGTCTGAGGCTTCTCAGCATCCTCTGTAACGGTCTCCACTACTTGAGACACCTTCTTGCATGGCTCGACATTCACTGGCACCCGTTTCCGATGTTTCAAGAGCTCCATCCTGCTCTCAAAATGGGTTTGTATGTGCTCTGTGGTGTCGCCACCACCTACACTCCAATGGATAAGACCGCTATCAAAGGCTTGTCGCCGACCCAATTTACTAGTGCGCCCAATCACAAACGGGTCTTTTTTCCTCAATATCTTGATGGGAAGCTTGTCAAATTTACTAGCCTGCTTTGGCTTCTCCTGGGAGGCACTGGTGTCCTGCAATGGGGTGGATGATCGGAAATGATCTTTGCAAGAATTATCCTCGCCTTCCCTCTCTTCTACATCATTCTTGTCACTGGATTTTTGGACCTGCGTAGACTCCTCTTTCTCTTGCTTGACCTGGACCTGTGACGTCTGCACAGTGTTGCTCTCTATATCTTCATCGTAATCCTCATCCTCCTCTTCCATCTGCTCTGCCTCTGGCCCTTCCTCATCAGACATCTCGGGGTCAATGGCATCTGGGTCAATTAGTGTACGCTGCCCAGGGTCGCCAACCTCATACTCTTTCAAGATGCCAAAGATCTCAATGAGGCACCTTCGGAAATACTCAACAATGAGCTCAAGGAAGCCAGGAAGCTGTAATTGGAAGATAAAGATAAATTAGTCACACTAGTTGACCAACCTGACCCATCCCTTGTCATACGGTCTATACCAGCGGTCACCAGACTCGGTCCTGGAGGGCCGTTGTCCTGCAGAGTTTAGCTAATTAAACACACTTGAAGCAGCTAATCAAGGTCTCACTAGGTATACTTGAAACTTTCAGGCATGTGTGTTGAAGCAAGTTGGAGCTCAACTCTGCAGGACACCGGCCCTCCAGGACCAAGTTTGGTGACGCCTGGTCTATACAAACTACTCACCAGGTTCAGATTAAAGTTAGAAATGCTGTTGTCATCATACAAAAGAATATTAATGGTATCCAAAGCCCAAGTGCTCTCGGCTAACAAGCCTGATTTGAGGGACATCATGACTCGCCAGGCCTCTGGTGTTCCTGAAACCGAACAAAACCTATTTTTAGACCACTCCAAAAAAATGGATCGGGACACAAGTACTCATGGGAACAACGCAATGAGCCTCTTACCAATATCCTTCATGGTAAGCCGACGACGCGGTTTCAGAATGGGCTGCGTGGCCTCTGTTGAACCTGGTGGGAATGCCACATCTCTCCGAATCAGAGGGGGCTGCACTGGCGGCTGGGCAATGTGTGATGCAGGAACTGGAGGTCCAGCCTTCTGGATTTTCATCCCTGTGTGCATGTATGGAGACTTACTGGGTGAGGTCCTGTTCTCCATCGGTCTTGGCATGGGTGCAGGGCTGGACACTTGTGGAATGTGGTTCTGGGAGGATTGATAGTTGGACTGAAGAGGTCTGGCCATCGGTGGCCCAGAGGCTCCAGGTCCGTACGGGGGCTGCCGCTGGTTAACATGGCCAGCCCAAGGTCCCTCGTGGTTCATGCGCTGATCTGAAGGCATCATGTCTTCAGAACGATTCATGCCATGGTAGCCTTGACTTTGGGATGGAACACCAGGGGGCCCCTGGCGATTGTGATAGTTTGGGTAGTTCATCTCATTACGCCCAGGCCACATGGGACCTTGGGGTCCATCGGGGCCTGAAGGCATGGAGCCACTCATGGAGCTACCCATCATCTGTGGTGGCATGGAGGGCTGGGAGTTCGGACCACCCGCGTTAGGTCCTCGATCTCTCCCAAAACCGAAAGGAAACTGGCTCTGTGGGCCCGGTGGGCGTCTGTCGGAGCCTGGATAGGCGTTATACTGGTTATACATATCAGGTTGGGACTGAGGTCCACCTGGGGCCTGGGGTCCCTGCTGCTGACCACTGAAAGGGTACATGTCCCCTTCATGACGCTTTGCAGGAGGGCCATAAACACCATCAACTGGTCTCTTCTGTGTGTAATTCTGTATTTGAGAAATATATATTTTTTTAGATTTTAGGCAATGTCACACCTAATAACAATATTATAATTTTAAAAAGATTGTATTTCACTGACCGGTTGCTGTTGTGGGTACACTCCTGACTGTTGGTTTGGGTATGGTCCACTAGGGGAAGCACCTTGGCCAGGGTATTGATTACTGTAAGAATCAAGCCTGCAAACCAAAACATACATGTAGTTTCAGAAAGGCTCAAAAAGCATGGATGCTCAAAAGCAATAGCAAAAAAAAAAAAAAGAAAGAAATGAGCAAAGAAAAAATTTATTAAATGCTAACCTCTGTTGCTGTGGGGGCTGGTTGGGTGAGTACATCCCTGCATCTGAAGGCATCATGTTAGGCTGTGGACCCATACTGCCATCTGGGCCCATATTTGAATCTGGTCTGTGAGGAAATAAAGAAACAGCATTTGAGAAACGGCAACTGAAGACACTACTCCTTGGTTGGGTTGTGTGTTGAAATGTGAAAAACCATTGCAAAGCTACTATAACGTGCAATATTAACACAATCTGATTTCTGTATTAATGGATTGCTATAATAAACTCACTGGCTACACTAGGGCTGCACGATTAAGCTAATGTGATTGTCATGCATATCCTGTCAGTGAACTACGGCTCTCTGTAGTAAATGCTGCTGCAACTGCTCCATCTGAAAGCATGTGAAAATACCACATTTAATAACATGTTTTTACTCCAAACTCACTTCATAACGTCAGTCGAGTGTTTGAAATAAATCCTTCTGTGAGATGATGTGGCTTCTTACACAGAATAAGGTATAGGCATTTCCTGGGTTTCTTCTGCGGGGCGTATTTGGAGTTTTAGCGCGAGAGCGCCCTCTGGCCTTCGGATGGAGATTTACTTCTGATCACAGAACCGTGCTTCACTGAAAGATACGCATTACAATCGCAGCTTCTGCCTAAACGCGATTTATCGCCTTTGCGATTTAATTTCGATTAATTGTGCAGCCCTAGGCTACACTTGATGCAAATACTTGGAATAAATGCACTCACCTTCTCTCATATCCTGGACCATATGGGTACTGTTGTCTTTGACCCATCGGCATATTTCCCATAGGTCCTGGGGGGCCTCGGTTATATTGTTCAGCTATGCCACTGTTTGGGCCTTGACCTGGGCTCATGAACTGCTCACCTGCTGAAAATGTAAGCAGAGAGTCAAACTGAGTGTCCTCTTTTGTATACTAAAATATAACATACAACCTATGATTTTTATGAGTTAATTACCACATGCCAAATCATTAAAAAGCACAATCTACACTTACAAGTATAACTAGTAAATGTCTGTTTAAAATAATGTTTCTTGTAGCAAATCAGTCACTGGGATAAGAATCATGGGTTGTACAAATGCTTATAAGAGCTTACAATTTGTAAGTTCAAAATGTTCATGTAGCAAAGTATATACAATCTCAGCAGTAATGGAGTTGGCTCAATATTATAGTAGCACTACTAGATAAATTCATAAGAGGCATCCTTAAAATTCCACTGTAAGGATATGACCAGAACAGTCACCTTTTCTCATACCACCGAACGGGTCCTTACTGGGCTCGTAAGGGCCCATGCGGCCCATCATGTCTGGTCCACCCATACCAGGCTGATAACCTGAATTGGGGGTCACAGAGTTTCGTCTGGAAAAAGCTGGATCCCCACCGTCAGCAAACGGGTCCTGCAAATTCACACTGCTCCTGTGTGAGACAGATAATTTCAGATATACTCTGGCCCTTGAAAGTCATTCTGAATGTCCTGTCCCAAAACTGAGAGACAGCATTGAGATGTACCTAGCACCAGGCATGGGCGGCATCTGACTGTGCGGTGTTGAGGCAGGTGTAGGGGGCTTCAGGTCTCCACCTTCGGCCATAGAACTGCTGGTCGACTGAGGCGTCTGAGGACCCTGTAACGATCCGGATCCAGCTGGGAGAAAAAAAAAAAGATCGGATCTGTCAGTCAGCAAATCCTAAAGGAGGTTTAGTCGACGTCATATTGTGTGTAGTAAACACTGAGCTTTAATAAGAACCATAAACCAGAAAACCAAAATTGCCGTCTACATGGCTATAATTTAAACATCAAATACATTTCCGACTGCCTGCGATTGTCGCTTTCACAGCACTTTTTACTGTCAGTGTGGACAGACAGCATGCCAACACGCAGCGACACGCTTTCGAGGAAATGCGCTGAGCTCGGCTCATTTGGCAACCTTCCCCTGTCTGAAATCACGCTGCTTTTCATGCCGCTTAATCTCATTTGAGGAATTTCCCCCACCGGTGACACAGGGAGAGGTGCTCTGCCAGCTAAGTGCTCAGAGACTATCATCCTTAGGTTTGAGGCTCCATATCCCAGCATGACAGAGTCTCCATTACTACCACTCAACCAGCAGCTAACAACACACTTACCACGCAGATAAGTGCTTAGTCATGTGTTGAAGAAGAAGAGATGAGGCAATCGGCTTAACTCTGACGTCACGCGTCACCGTGTCTGGGCCCAAACGCTCTGTCAGATGCCAAAAGCAAGGAACACACTTCACTAATATACACTCACGGTTTGCTGTAATACTAACCTTTATCTCCACACTGATATCTCAGAAGGCCAGACAGTGATTCATCTTGTGTGAAAAGTTACAATATTGGATGCCGTGAGCCCAGAGACCAGTGTTGGGGGTAAAGTATTACAAGCAACGTGAGTTGCGTAATCAGATTACTTTTTTTTTTTAAAGTAACTAGTAAAGTAATGCATTACTTTTAAATTTACAAGAAAATATTTGAGTTACATTTTCAAATAAGTGTACTGACTGACAGCTCTCCTGTCCTCATGTTGATAGAAATCGGGAGTAAGTGCAGAGGCGTTGTGTACAAAAACAGATTCAGTATTCCTCAAAATGAATAAAAGCATTAAAATGCACTCAGAATATGGTGCAAACCTGCAATAATTAAATGTGTTAAATAACACGAATATCCTTTATGTATTTAATCCCATTTTATTAACCAATGTGTTTGCTGCTGACCTACTAATAAGCAAAAATGACTTCAGATAAACATAACATTTGAGTTTCATGATTTTTTTTTATTGCTGAAGAGTGTTGAACTTTCTTCTCCTGCATCCTATTCTTTATACAATCCAGAATGGCAGCACAGCTGAAAGGTTGTTTATTTCCTTCAGCCTGAGAGAATTAAAAGGGCTTTGTCATTTGCCAGAAGTAAAACTTTTTTATATTAGAATTAACAAAAGTAACGTAACTCATTACTTTCTATAAAAAAAGTAAGTAACACAATTAGTTACTTTTCTAAAGGAGTAATGCAGTATTGTAATGCATTATTTTTTTAAATTTTTTTTTTTAAGTAATTTCCCCCAACACTGCCGGAGACAGTAGTGCACACCATGAGCTTTTTAAAAGCCTAGCTTTAGTGTTATATAAATAAATAGCGTTCATAAATGGCTGTTCAGTTAAAATGTGCAGTGGCTTGGACCTGGAAACAGTATTCCTTATGACCCGACTGAAAGATGCAGTAAGCGATTTCTGAGGAACACTTGAAAATTTCAATCAACACCCAAACAAACGATTGCGAATACTTGCTAACTGTCGGTTCTGTGCTTGCTGGAAAAAATACAGTAATAACCGTATTATAGGGAAAAACCGAAGTGGATTGGAGCGATCAGGCCGAGCACCACAACACTCTTGTAGCCAATTAGCAATAGGGCCTTTTATCATCCATGATGGGGAGGAGATACATAGAGGGAGCAAGCTGGAGATTTGTAGACTGTAGAAAAAGAGATGGCCTAGGCATTAACAAATAGGAAAATATCTAAGAAATATAACCTAATAAAGAAGAGTTATGATCGGGAACGAGCTAGGACTCGCATTTATATTGGAAAAGCTTTCCAGCGCTGGATATTAGAGAGCTCTGCTCGACATGTAACATTGGCTCTACCATTTCACAGAACCAAGACATGCTGTTGTACATTAGCATTAGATTCATCCATACTTCTGTGAGGCGTCTGAAGGGTGAGCTGTTAGCCAATGTATGCGTTACATAGCATGTTGGTGAATTTGGGGGCAGAGCAATGAAGGCAGGGGTGTGTTTGTTTTAGGTAGGGCTGTGTTTGTTTGGGTGTTTCATAAATCACTAACTGCACCTTTAAGCAAACTGCACAGGGCTCCAGACAAAAAAAAATTAAAAATAGAGTAAAGAGCCATTGGCTCCTAGAAGAAAAAAACGTAGGTGCCAAATTATTTTTTTGGGTGCCACAGAATAAACGTGTTTTATTTATTTTATTATTATAATTATTATTATTTTCTTTATTTACATTTTAACATTTCAATTAGGGATGTTCATTTTAACCGGTTAACCATTAACCAACCGTAAGAATTTTGACCGATTAATACAATCAGTAAAATGGTTTAAAAAGTAATTTAATTATTTTTTTCAGTAATTTATCAAAATATTTAAAAAGGTTTGCTGCATGGTTAAAATACGCTACGCGTATTAAAAAAAAAAAATTATTTCATTCAGAAATAATTGCGAAATGTTTACAAACATTATAACAAACACTGTAAACATAGCTAGGCTATTTTAGTTCCCCTCACTCCACAACAAAGCCTTTCAATTAACAGTATTTAGAAAAGAACAAGAATTAAAAATATAAGAAGTTATAGCAATATAAACGACAAGCCAAAAAGAATTCATTTAGGCTAAAACAAAACTGAAATCAACGTTGGGTCTCTCATTCGACACAAAATCAAATGTTTCCGTATAATGCCAAATTATTATTTATTATGTACAATTCTAATTTAAAATAATCTTGTCGGTTAACAATCGGTTAACGGTTAGGAAAAATAACCGAAATGAACATCCCTAATTTCAATCATACTGTCATGTGTTTATGTCTCATCTTTTCTTGAATTTATCAGCATTTTAATCCATCTTGTAGATGACCTGGGAACTAAGGTTCACTTAAAGTGGGAACTAAATGTCTTTTCCAACTTGAAATATACAGTCACAAAGAATTATTACACAGAATCTGTACCAATATCATGGACCATAAGCATCACTTGGCCACTGAGTGTAGTTTAAGCTCCTCCTCAATGCATCCTATAAGCGTTGTCATATGTCTTTCACACATTCAGTCTGTTTTTCTTCATTAGTAAAATGCAATTTTATTGGAGGAGTTGAATCATGTAGACAACAGGTTAAGTAAAAAATATTAATATGCAATAGCACATAAATATAGCAAAATGCTCTTCTTTATAGTTATTTTTCTAGCTCTACCTTTTGATGTTAATTCATGTTCATTATGTAGTATAGTAGTAAAGAGAAAGATATAATGGGTTCACTTGAACTGAGGCGCTAAAGCGATCGCACCTGCCGCATTAAAGAGCGCCAAAACCGTAGGCCTATTTATTGTTTGAATTTCGTTATGAATTTGGCATAATTTTAAAGCTGACACTTTGTTTATTAAAAAGTAACACAGCTTTTGCGATTACTGGACGGCAAGTGCACTTCAAATAATATGAAGTTCACACATTAACAGAACACAGCATATAGACCAAGATCTTGATAAGAAGAAGCCATATTAGTAATGATTATAAACGAGAATTGTTAATGATATTGCCAATATCCACACAGCTGACAGCTTTACCTGCTGTAGTTTGTTCAAGTTGTGCACGTCTCCGTCATGTCGAGCTCTCTCGCGCTGCACAACTGAGCTGCGTTTATCTGTGTGCGTCAGCGCTGCTGTGCTGCAGAGATGAGGAATGTTTGAAACTTTTTTTCCGCTAAAATTTTGATGCCCATTACATGCACATTTTTAAGTCATAACATGTAAATATATATAGTCGCCAGTGGCACCCAACAGATTAACAGGCCGAAATACTCATAAAATTAACAAGGGAGGCCCCATTTTCCTCATTCCTGATCAAACTATACGGTTACTTCAAGTCCTTGAGTGCTCATGCCCGTCCCTCCAACATGATTACTATAAGGCCACATGCCTCATTTCAGCAGACATGAGGCAACGTGTATTCGTGTAAATGTCAGAGAGCGAAAGGAATGAAGCGGAGAGAGACACACAAATGTGTGTGGATGAACAGCATGTTTGCGCGCCACATGTTGCAGCTCATCTTGCGGCCAGCTAGAGGATGACTCATGCTTCCATTCATTAGCTCGTACACAGACTGGGGTCACCGGCAGGTCAGACATATCCATATCTGGCACTTCACACATGCTCCTTACACACACACACAATACCTCAGCCTCCCTCCTCTGGGCAAGGATATCCCTCTAATGTAGATAAAGAGAGGGGAGGGTGGGAAAGAAAAAAAGATGAGGAAGAAAAACCCAGCTTGAATTTACATACCACCACCACCTTCGTTTTATTTCCCCCCATTCATCTTTTTTTCTGGCTTGGTTCAGCCCTCCAGGGGTTTGCCTCTGAATCCTAAGGCCAGGAAAAAGCCGCCTGCAGCAGGGAAAAAAGCAGTCAGCCTGGGCCTGACTCGGCCCATTTCTCTTGTAGTCTCAGTCGCTCTCTACTGAACTCACTCTCTGGCTCACAGAGTCTTTTACATGGGATGCGTTTCTGGATTGAAAAAAGCTGATCACCTGACCCGGTGCCAAGCAGACATGCTCTGCATCACAGGGGATCGCCTTTAACTCGGCCCATTTCTCTTGTAGTCTCAGTCGCTCTCTACTGAACTCACTCTCTGGCTCACAGAGTCTTTTACATGGGATGCGTTTCTGGATTGAAAAAAGCTGGATGGAGCGAAACAGAACGGAGTGCATAACCCATTGGCCTCCTTAAGCGTTTAACACCCAGGCTTTTTGCCAGTTTCATACAATAGGCCGGACACACTGCCATTGTTGCAGACAGATGCTGTGCTTGCTACAGTAAATACGCTTGGGATGCCTGTCCAGTGCATAGCTACTTCTGATGGATGCATTTAAAAAAAAAAAAAGAAAAAAAGTATTCATGTGCTGCATAACAACAGCCGAGGTATTTTTAACAAGATACACCATCTTAAATAAAAAATAGCATGAGGCACTGGGAACTTCAAGGACGCAACAAAGATGTCTATCAGTCACACGTGCAGAAAGAAGTGTGTACATTTTGATGATATACATCATTCAAGATTATGAAAAATCACCCTTTTCAACCATTTTAAACAACAATTGCTGTTGTAGATTCAAAACAGTGATGCACTTTCACTAAATAAACAAATGGAAGAAGGATATTTAAGCAGTTTTATTTATATGCACCGATACAGATCTTAGAAAAACAAAAAAACGACAAGAAACTAATTTTAAAAAAACTGATGCGCCAAATGTTCAGCAACTAAAATAAATAAAATAAACAAATAAATAAACATCACATTTTAGGTTGAAATAATTTTGGAGGGCTCAAACCACTGACCAAAACTGTGGCATTTAAACAGTGCTTCTTTTTGCATGTCATTGACTATTTAATGTGCACAACGTAGATAAACTATAGCAGGTAAACATGTGAGCTTTGTGGACACACTTTACCATACCCAAAACAGTAAAATAGCATTATGTAAAATTTGTTTGTCTGAAATGAGAAGCGGTTTGTGGACACAGAACTTGACTTTGGTTTAATTTATCATATGAGAACTCGACACCCTGAACAGCACACTGAGAACAAAGTACCCAAATATAACCATCCAAACTTCATCTTTTTAGTTTCAGTGTGTTCAGCTAAATGAAAACTGCCATTTCCGTTTCAGTACTTTTTGGACTTCTGTGAACATTTCTGATTGATCAAGCAAACAAATCAACTTCCTGAACAATCTCACAGAAATGTTTATCTTACAAACTAGTCTTTGTTTCTTTCTGAACTCTGTTAAAACATCAGTCCTAACACACTTATACTCACTAGTGATGATAAACCTAATGGCGAAATAAAAAGTGCATTAAAAATTAAGCTATTAATAATGTTGTGTATATTGGCAGCAAAATTCATTAATATTTCCCAGCTTCACTCTGAACACAAAAGCACAGAAGGGCATAAATAAGCAATGCTATCCCAGCAGAACAGAGTAGTGTGGAAGCTAGCAGTACTGTAAATCACTATAAACGACACGAGGAATGAACGTCAAACATTACCAGCTGTACTAAACCACATCAAAGCAAAACTCCATTAAAACAAGACATGCACACTATAAAGATTCACATTTACAATCACATTAATCTAGCTGTAATAGGTGCGTTATCGGAGCAATGGGAAGGGGTTTATATCAAAGCAGTTAACGTCTTTCAAGGCTGATTATGTCAGTTTCCTGGACATCATGAACACATTGTTACCTGCATTTGGGAAACTGACTCAGAATAATACCGCATTAACCTTTCCTTCAAATTCATCGCAACTTGCTTCAATTCTGCATAACACGCCAATCGCACATCAGAATAAGAAATGCTGAAAGAAAGCACCAAATCTCAAGACTAGTCGGAACATATTTGATGTTTCATACACATTTCTGTGAAGATGGATTGTGGACAAATACGAACGCAAAATGGCAGAGCTGCCAAGTGCAATAAAGATTGAAGCACTAACACTGAAAAGAGGCCTTTCTGCATCAAACCTGGCAAGGACATAAGGTTGGACTTGTTCCATATAAAAGAGTTGTCTGCACTGACCTGGTGAAGGAGGCTGGACCTTGGCCTGGTTCTTTTTAGGGTCATTGTTCAAGATTTCGGGCGGCGGGTCTTCCCCTCGCTCGATCTTGCACTCGAAGGCGTACAGACACTGGATGTACTGTTTCTTCAGAGAGCTGGCAGCACTACTGGATGTGCCCACATTCAGGTTAGTGGCCATTTCCCTCCACTTCTTATTCTTGTTCACCTGATAACGGCAGACAGACAGAATTAATGACTGAGTGGATTCAAACCCAGCACACACTGTACAAATCCAGCTAAAGCTAGAATAGTTTGACTTCGGCCTGGCCGATAAAACGGTATCGATATTTGTCGACGGTACACCTTCTTCGATATCGATAGAAAAAATGTTTGATATAGTGCACGATATAGGCACGTGCTATGAGTGACGCAGACAGTACACACAAACACGAACACATGCTGAAATGAGTGCTGTGCCTGCCTGTGATGAGGAGATTGTGAATAAAGAATGAATATTAGTCGAGTTTAAAATAAACATTTGCATTTGAATGTTAGGTGTACGTCAGGGAGCGTCATCAGTGGCGCGCGAGATGCGGAGATAATGTTGTAACTGACGTTGTTGCATTTTAATATTTTGTTAGTCTAACCCACAAGACGCGCAGTTGGTGCATTATGCATTCAAAATATTAAGAGAAATATATTAAAATCAACAACAATTTTACTGCAATTTATTAAAAGTTTAACAAAAATTGCATTTTTAGGGCCCTATGAAATACGTTTTTTTTTTTTTTTTCTGGTATTCAAATGAAGCCATAGAACATTCATTAAATTTTTCTCGAAATGCAATGAAAATGAAACCCTTTCAATTTTTTTAGCAAACAAAGTGCTTCATAACAGGTGTACTGTTCAAATTAAAACATGGAAAAATTGTGTGATTATTCCTTAAAAATAAAGTTTTAATAATAATTTTATTATTAGTAGTATTACAGTAAGATGTACATCCTACTGTACGAAAGTAATATATTTCTGTCACAATTTCTTCAAATTGAACCGGTCTTTTATTTTGGCCGGTTGCAGTAAAGAGTTTTGTTTGTGTGCGTACATATGACGACAGTTTTTTCTAAAAAGAAATGGCCAAATGATTATAAAGTGACTCTCAGAGTAGCTCTGGAGAAGATGTGCACGCACTTATTGAGTGAGACGGCAGATGCTAAAAACACAGCGAGCGTCACGCACACTTCAGTATATATAGTAAACGAAACCGCGTGTCTGCACCATTCATTCACACAGATATGAAGAACATGCAGGATTCATATTTGAACGGTCTTTTTGGGGCTTAATTTTCACAGACGCTAGTCCATACCCAAATTCCCTGACATTCCGGGTTATACAGTAAATCCCATTTTTTATGACTGGATTCCGCAATTCCGTCTGCATTTAAACGGCCTTGTTTACACCCTTTCATGTCCTATAATCGCTCCTAAAAAACTTCTGTAATGTACAGCTTCCATATCGCACCTGAGTGAGGCCGCCAATCTCTTTGACGGACACGTAGAGGCGGAAGAGGTCAAGGGGCTTGCGGCCCACCGCGGGGAGATTGGTCATGCCCATGGCTTTCTCCTCAGCAAACGCAAGGTAACGATCCACCCACATTTTGCGCTCCGGTTCTGGGCCCAGCTCGTACAGACGGGTTATCTTCTCATTAGTGGTGGTAGAGGAATTGGATTTCTGCAAGGACAAAAAAGGAGCAAAAAATGGTAAAATGCACCCAAGTATTAGATTCCTGCTGTTTAGTTATGGGGGCTAAAATTCCCCCATGCAATTTTTATAAACAAGCAGCACACACTAGCGGGTATATCAATGCACTGTATATGTGCAATGCGCATTTCAGCGGAAAAGCATTTTCATGAATGATGTATAAAGCCAGGACTGCAGGGAGCAATTTCAAAAGCCCTGAATGTGCGTTACTCCTCCTGTACAGTCTCCGGCTATCACAGCTCTCCATACAGATGATCAGTCAAGAGCTGTTCACAGGGCTCAGGGCTGCCCGCCCGCGTCCTTCGGCCTGCAACAGCACGGCCCCGACCCATTTAAATATTAATAGCTCTTCACCTTTTTCGATTCGGTCTTAGGCGTCCCATCCACTTTGTTATTCAACTTCTGAGGTTGGTTGAGTTTGTCCATTCCAAACTCTGGACTGGGAGCCATGCCTACGAGACAAATGCAAACACTGTGTCACTGTGGGCCAAAAAGCATTTTATTCAATTCAAAGATTCACTGTTTGAACTATTAGCAAAAAAACTAAAACGCTGGAAGCAAAGCAAGCAAGTTACACTGCTTACCGGCTGAGTTATTGGACATGTTTCCGGGCATGGGGTACGGTCCCACTTGATTCATCATACCCTGCATGCTGTTCATGGGCGGGGCATACGGAGACGGAGACGGAGACCCGGCTCCCATCATTTCCTGGTTCATGTTGGGATATCCAGGCGGTCTAGAAGATAAATGAATGAGACCGTTTAGCTAAACTGGATCTTAAAGGGGTCCTATTATGCTTTTTCACTTTTTTAATTTTAGTCAGTGTGTAGTGTGTATGTTTGGGCATAAAAAAGAAAGTTACAAATCTCAAAGTCCACTCCAAAGAGAGATATTTCGTTTTTAAAAAATCCCTTTTCAAGAACTACAGCAAACGGCTCGTTTGGACTACAGCGTTTGTTTTCCGGGCTTTGTGATATCACAAAGCGGCCCATGTAGAAAATAATGTATTTGGATTTTAAAGACGTGGCGCGACGCAACGCTTCTCGTCCGGTGCGCGACCGCCTGAAACGCTGTTTTTTTCACCTCCGTGCCCAAACGTCTTTGTTTTGGCTTCCGAAAGCGGATGATGTCAGGAAACAGTGGTTGCAATTTATTTACTTTGTAAAAGAGCATAATAGGACCCCTTTAAATGGTATGAATGACTCTCTTTCAACACACTGCCTTCACTCGTACTGTCATGATCTGATTTTCATCTCTCACAGTGTGATCAGACTGAATCCAGCTGTGCTCCACAGTAGGGGTGTAAATCGGATGGTTCGTCACGATACGATACGATATCGATTCTCATACCCAGCGATACAATATTTGCCAATACTTCAAAAGATTCTGATTCTTGATTTATTAATCAATGTTCATTAACATTTTCGAGTTTTATTTATTTACTCCCTAAAAAAAAGGAATTGTTGAGATTCTTGTCCTTTGCATGTTTTCGGCAAATGGAGAAGGCCATCTTTTTAGTCGAAGTATCAAATACAAGCCAGTCTCTCTTTGATCCATCGTCACTGAAACACCATCTCTCGCTAAAACACAGAGAACCGTCATGACGTTCTGATGTTTGCTTGTAATGTTTCCATTCCGTTCCGACGTAACCCCAGGTTCTTACACCGTGTCTACACCGGACGTGACAGTTGTCGTGTCGCGCCGCAACAGCTAAAGTCGGTCTACACTGGATGTGACAAAGCGCCCGTTAAAAATAATTTTAAATGTGTGTCAGCACGTCATAAATAGAATTGCATCCAGTGTAGACAGCATCACTGATTATAATGGGTTCTATAGTATTTTGTCGCGCCGCGCCGCTCGCATCCAGTGTAGATGTCAGTTTATGAAGCATAAGGAAGGGAAAAGTTAATCTTCTGAAATAAAGCAGCAATATCTTCTCAGGTAAAAGTTATTAGAACCGTGTCTAGGTACAAGCTAGCCATCACACTGCTCTGAACTTATCAGCCCGTTTTTATCCTATTATTTGATTCGCTCTTGTGGCTTATGACAAAACAGCTAACCACTCATGATGAGCTCGTCTTTGGAAAATATTATTTTATTCACTTACGTCAGAAACAGCGAATCTCTTTAAAAACTGTCTGTTGTTCTCAATACATTGCATTGTTATAATTCGGAAAAGTTTTACCCGCCAACTGGCGACTGACGCTGTTACATATACTCGCCAACACTGATTTTTACTCACATCTGGCGCTTGGCGAGTGTTAATTTTAGGCCCCAATTATATAGTTTCTAAGCCTCAGGTTAATCAAAATCCATAACTCCGAGCCCAAACAAATTAATATGTGTCCAGCCTTTAGCACAGTCAGGTTTATATGGAAGTGTTTAAAAGAAACAGAAAAGATCCGATATAAGACAGACCCATTTGAGCGATGGAGAGTGTATTTAATATTTATAATCAAGTGATCTCTCCAAATCATTCATTCACGACATTCACTTGTCTGTTTGCTTACAAAAGGTGCGAGAGAGATGCAGCCGTGTCTCTCTGTATATTAATATGTATATGTATAAAATCTGTATATTAGTCCTCATCATGCCTGAATTCACCAGTAGATTATATTTAAATAAGCACATTATTTTACTGGATATTAACTTTGAATATTTTGAGTGAATGCAATCACTTACAATAATTAAAAATAATAAATAAAAATAAACAAATATTTGTAAAAAATAAAATAAAAATAATGAAAAATGCAAAATCAACATTATAAAAATAGACTGATCAAAATATTAAATGTAAAAACAATAAATAATAGTTTAAATATTTAAACTGCACACTATATAATCAGTGTCACTGATAGATTGTTTGCTGAAAATACAGAAAAAGGTTAAACACTAACTTGCATACTGATGCTGAATCAGTAAAGTAGAATCATGAGTATTTCTATGCTGGTGACACCATTGCCTTGTGAATGGGGAAACAGGACTACGATTTCAGTTATTATGCACAAAACTATTTACAGGTGATTCTACTCTTACTGTCACTAGCACTAAGAACATGAGTATATCATGATTATTGGTGTGTTTTCACTGCAAAACACCACAAAAAAAGCAAATAATAACTTTGAGACAAGCTATAGCCAATTCAGTCATTATAGGCCACAAAAACAGATTAAAGTCTGTTTGTCAAATGTCCTATTTGTGAAATCAGCTTATTTACAGCTTCAAGCTTCATGTAGACCGTGTTTCGACAATCAGAGCTCCAGTGACTCAACTTCCTATGACCAAGCTAAGCATTTCTGCATCAGTGTTGGCAATCAGTGGGATGGACTCTGTTTCTCATGCTGAAAAACTGACATTGTCAGATCGGATCCAAACTTTTCCCAGTCCAAGAGGGCCTGGATTCTGCACAGGATCGTTTCAGTGAGTTCAGAAGCACATGTGGACTGTACCTGTGTATGGAGTTGGATGGGCCATGGAGCATCCCCGCCGCTGATGCGGGATCCTGAGGCTTTCTGTTCATCCCAGGCGGCGGACACATTCCTGACGCCACCTGAGGAGGCATGCCGCCCATGTTGGGGACCATGCCAGGGCCGTACGGCCTCGTACCCATCTGCCCCGGACCCATGCGTACCGGAGGCATCCCTCCATACGGCCCCCCTCCACCCTGCCCTGCCATAGGGTTCATGGAGCCGCCCAAGCCAGGACCACCCGGATAGTTAGCGTTCGGCATGCCTCCGTAACCCGGAGGCCTCGGGTAACCTGTGCAACAGATTTTAAGGTTAATGCACACTCTAGGCTCATGTAAAATATGTTTGATGTTCTTTAAAAGCATCAGTGTTCAGTCGAATCGAAGTTTCTCACCTTGTGGTCCGTACTGGCCACCCTGTGGCCCATAGTTGCCCATGGAGTTGTTTTGCGGGAAGGAACCCATCCCACTATGCATTTGGCTTCCAGATGACTGCCGTGGGGATAAAGTTGACCCGGGTTGAGGAGAGCCGTACGGCATCTGAGGGTTCCTCATGTATACTGTAGAGAGCAGACACAGTTACGCTACAGTAAACCACCCTCGAGGTTATGCTTTCATGCTAGGAGTTTTGGTGCGGATCCAAGCTGAACTCAGGTGCACAACACAGAGACACTCCAAAGTAAACATGAAAATGATGGTCTGGGGTACAGCTTGTGTAGACACTAAGAGTTCACAACTCAAAAAGCAATATGGTCAAATATGCATACGCAAACCACAATTTAGGATGTTTAAGTACAGAGTCCATAGAAATTGCTTTCAGGGACCTTATTCCTTATTCCAGAACACATCAGGAAATGTACAGTCAATTTATGGCTGCAGATTATGAGAAAAAAAAAAAAACTAATTGCTATTTTTCTAGGGGGAAAAAATCGTGGTTTGATGTGTATGTTTGTAGGGCTGCACAATTTGGCTAAAATTGTATGATTATACATCAATATGAATATAAAATTATAAAAAACATAACATTTTTAATAATAATAATAATTCATTATTATTATTATTACTAAATCAAAATATAAAAATTACAAAACATGAAATTACTATTGCTATTACTATTAATAACAATATTACTATTTCCAATGTAAAATAAAAGAGTATTTAAAACAAAATAATTTTTATTAAAAAAATCCAAATTTTTAATATCAATATGGCTATAAAATAATATTTTTTATTATTAATAATAATAATCATCATCATCAGTAGTATTAGTAGCACAAAATAAAAGTATGAAATATATGTATATATATTAGGGGTGTAACGATACACGTATTCGTATTAAAACGTTCTGTACAAGGCTTTCGGTTCGGTGCGCATTACAAACCGAACGATTCGTTGGACTAATCCTATTACATTTGGAAAATAAAACAACGTGCGGTCTGCCCCGTGATAACCTCCCCTTGCTGGGACTGTGTGTCGAAAGAAGATGATCTTGTATCGACTAGGGTTGGGCCGACAGACGATGCCATCGTCAATCGCCGATGGCTGACAGACATCACGATGTTAAGCTGTCATCGTGATTACCCTCCCCCACCTACCCCCTCTCCCGCAATCCGCCGCATCCCAGTTCCGTGTTCAGAAAGGAAATGAAGTGTACTACAGAAACCCTAAAGGGAATAAATAGCCTACGAGATGGGAGGAAAAAGAAATATTTCAATACTTTTTCTCGCAATTATATTGTTGGGTAAGTATAGGCGACTGTATATAAACTGCGGGCATCAGGGAGCCGCTATTGAAACCGCTTTTGATCGCACGCTCATTTTACTGTCACTTTCACTTTTGAGATTGGCGATCACAAGGACTCTATACTATGGAGCGGCAGTACTTACCACACATTTGACAAGATTAGATGTTTGTCATTGGTGCTCAGGATCATTCGCCATCGTCCTATCAGACATTGTAAGTGAACTTTCATGTACTGTAATGCAACAGGCTTTTAGTGGCTCTGTATAACGCATTTGTTTCACGCTTCGGGCACACCCCTAACCCCGCCCCGCCCCCCAATGTCATCGTCCATCACGATGTTTCACTGTAGACATCGTCCGATGCCAATTTGGTAGACATCGCCCAACCCTAGTATCGACGATATCAATTGTTGACGATATTAAGATATTTGACATTTCCAATTAATGTAGGCCTGTTACATTCTTATTTTTATTAGTCCTATTATTATTATTAAGAAGTTGCTTTTATTGTTAAATTAAAATTACAATTTGCCATTACAATAATTACCAAATAACTGACGTGCTGCGAGGGTAACAAAAGATTAGGCTATTTACTCCTCAATTAAAATGTTTTAAAAAAAGGTATTTTAAAACAGGTCTATACAATGAATTATAGGCCTATTATTAAAATATTAACACTTCAGTCATCAATAAAAATCAATGAAATAAGCTTTTATTTCAAGCACCGACTTTCAAAAACAACCTGTTTAACACGAAATATGTTTCTTCTCTTCTTTTTTTTCACTATCTAATATTAGAAATATTAAGGGAATAAATGAAAAGTTATCCGCTATCAGCACATGTTGAAGTAGATTCGTCTCGTCGTCTCTGAGAGAATATGCGGCGTCAGATGCCGAAAGCTTCGTCATTACTCAGTCATTCCCTTTTTACTTTCACTTTCTGCAGTGAATTGACTGAGATAAAGACTTCACCGGCATAAATCTTGCGCAAAGTTTGTACGTTGCTTGTGTGTGATATCCATTGGCTTGCCTTCATGGTTTAAAACAAAATATTTCCAACATTGCGACGTAACCAATTACCCCCATACCGAACTGTGACACCACTGTGTCGTATCGAACCGAACCGTGAATTTTGTGAACCGTTACACCCCTGATATATATAGGCATATATATATATATATATATATATATAATATTTTGATGGAAAACGGCAGGGTGCCCTTCTTTTGTTGATAAGCACTTCTCATTATTCCCAAATGCACATTTAAGCGACTCAAACTCAGAGCAGATGCTGAAAAGACTGGATCACGAGCTGCTCATGCATAAATTAACACAGTGCCGTGCTTCACTCCGACTAAACATTGAATTAAAACGCAGCCTTCACAATTAGAAAATAGCACTAATCCATATCGTGATTTCAGTTTTATTTTTTAATTAATCGTGCAACAAAGATAAACATTTATAAAAAAGTCACAAGACTCACCTCTATCCTGACCCATGGAGGAATGTAACATACCATCCGACTGGACACTCGAGGGTCTGGGGGGCATCTGGGTTCCTATAAGAGGGGTAAACATCAAAGTTAAACTAATGGGCAACTTATGATAATATGTGACAATGGACCACTAAACCAGTCATAAGTAGCCCGGGTATATTTGCAGCAATAGCCAACAATACATTGTATGGGTCAAAATGATCTTTTATGCCAAAAATAATTTGGATATTGAGTAAAGATCATGTTCCATGAAGATATTTTGTAAATTATGTATTATGTACGATTTAAACAAAATTGACAATTATGACTGGTTTTGTGGTCCAGGGTCACATATTAGTCTTTGAAAAAAATGAAATGCGCTTCTGCATTTCTACCTGCACTGAACTATACTGTTAGTGCAAATAATAGTAAACAAACTGCATAAATGAGAGTCCCACCAGGCAAGGCTCCGGGTGAGAGGGGTCCCGTGCGCGAGGCCGGGCCGCTGGCGGGCGAGCCCACAGGTGAGGGTGACGGGCCGCGGATCCCGGGCAGGTGCGGGGAGGTGTGGGGCGAGAAGGGCGACTGCGCCGGGTTGCTCTGCTCCCCCTGACTGCTGGACACTCCTGACGTGCTGACGCCCGGACTCAGAGCACCCTCCGTGCCTGTGGGGAGATCATCGATGGAGCCAGACAGATCCTGCACAGGAGAACCAGACAAACAGAAGCGTGTTATTAGTGGCGTTTGATAAGGCAAGCCTCTCTATTACTGCTGCTCATTGACAGCCATTTGAACAAAGCCCTGAGTGCTCGTCCCACACTGTACTACAGACATGAATGATAGCTCAAATCACATGATTTATTGAGGAGAGACGTGCTCGTAGTTTTTACGGAAGCCCTAAGGGGACATAGTGATGGAAAAATATGAGATGAGAGGAAAAATTATTTCAATGCTTTTGCGTTCATTTGCTAAACTTTTGCGTTCGCTCTCAGACATTTTGCTGCTGATGGAAATATGAGATGGGAGGAAAATCCATACTTCTACGCTTTCACAAAGTTTCTCTGGGGAGCGCAATACTTTTGTGAGTGTACAAAAAAGTTACTCCAGAGAATGCAAAAGTTTTGCAAGTGATCTCACAAACAATTTTTCCATGCATCTCATATTTTTCCCATAAGGGCTCTATTTATAAAAAAATTTAAAAAATAAAATTTAAAAAAAGCTGTGGCTGATAAAATGAGCAATTATAGAACAGACTTTCACTGAAGGAGTAATCTCAACCATGTCTTCATATAACCAGGCATGAGCACGTAATGTACTTTTGGTATATTGGGACAAGCATCTTGCTTCTGTTTTAGAAATAACGTAATAGTTACAGTTAACAAAGCACATCCTGCTAAAACCCCCACCGAGACATTTGGCATCTCTATTTAAATCTTAAAGAGACCATTCACCTAAAAATCAATATACAGATATGGAAAAAGTTAAAGAGACCACTTGGAAGATTCTCTGGATTTATGATTTATAGTTAGGCCAATACGTTTGAGTAAAACCAAAGCTGTGTTTTATTCTGTAAACTATTGATGACATTTCTTCCCAATTTTAAATAAAAATGTTTTAATTTAGAGCATGAAATGACAATTGGTCAAAACAACAAACGATGCCATGCTTTCAGGCATGTTTTTATTCATTTTTATACACAATACCCAAGTTTTAACTTCTTTAGAGTTAAGAATCAATATTTGGTGCAATAACCCTGATTTTCGATCAACAAATGAAAACATGTTATTTTGACCAATCGTCCAAAAAAAAAAAAAAAAGCAGCACTAAATGACAATATTTGTATCTGAAATGTGGAAGAAATGTTATCAGACTCTTCTAGAATAAAACAAATAGCTATTAACATTTTACTCAAACCCATACCTAGTAAATCCAGAGAAACTGAGAATTTAAGTGGTCTCAGTTTTTTTTTTCCCCATAGCTGTATATTTGTGTATTTTCTATCATCATTTCTATTCATCCATTGAAAGTCCACACAAATAAAGTTTTCATGCCCCTAATGGCACAAAAGCAATTAAATGAATCAAGCAGTTTAATCCAGGTATTCTAAACAGAAGCTTTAACATGCTTTCATTGGCGTGTGAGAAAAACCTCATTTTAAAGCCAGCACGTTTGAGCTGGTGTTTACCATATTTGATGAGCTCGATGTGTGCTGATCAACGTTTATGTGGGAAAAAAAAAAATCTTAATTCAAATCTGTAAATATATGTTCAAAAGACTTAAACAGTACAATTCATTTGAATTACTTTGTGTACTTTTTAAAGCCTGACACTTTTGGTTTTGTGAACTTTCATTGATGTAACTGTATCTTAAAGATGAACGAAAGTCTTTAAGGTTTATTAACCACATGAGTGCGAGTAAACGATGACCACTTTCATTTCTGGGCGCACTATCCCTGTAAAGCCACCTAGGTATACATACTGGTAGACCCAAGCAATTAGCTAGTCAGTTGTTAGACGATTAGTTTACCAAAACAACCAAGCATTGTTGCATCTTGTTTATCACAGGCGAACATGGCTCTATAAAATAAATCCAGTTGACTGAGTGACAAAGTGTCATAAAGCAGGGCAAACATCAGTGAAATTTACACAAACGGTGCATAACAAATACAACACAACACATATAACAACAGAAAAACCAGGCGAACATATCTTGCAAAAAACAAATAAACTACTATAAGACCAGAAAATGTTCACTCAATATACATGAAGCAAACATGGATATTTTGTGAGACCATGTGTCTTTGATTATTGATGGTTTTGCCTGAAAACAAGCCTGAGTGAAATGAGCAGCGAGTCCATATGGGCTGTGATGCTGAAATCAATCTGGCAGTCAGTCATAAAGCCTCCCAGCGGAGGAGTGTGTGTGTGTGTGTGTGTGTGTGTGAGAATATTTACACACTCGACTCGCGTCACGTGGAGCGCATGTGTTCAGTGAAAATTTGCAAGCTCATCTGCCAGTCAGATCAGAGAGGGAAAGGGAAAAAAGTGGTAGAGGAACGAGAAACACAAACACACACTGGAGCATGGCCAAGTATTCCCATAGAAATCTCACACTCGCAGACTGGCTGCGGCCCCAAAGTCAGCGGTTTTGCACTTGAAACGGCGCCCGCTGCTATTTTTGGGCCGTGACCTGCTGGAGGAACCCCAGAGGGAGAGACAGGAGAAGGACGCCGATTCAGACTCCTGTTTTAGCTGCCACACACACACACACACACGCAGCGTCTGCATGACCCAGCTCTGCTCTAACAGGAAACAATCCTCGGCGGATTGCTGTTTATGTTGGCATGTGTGTGTCTAAGAGGAGATTCCTGTGTGTGACCCATGAGGAAGGTGTTTATTACCCGAGAGTGTGGCATAAACCCAGAGTCTTAATGTCTGTGCGTGCGCGCGTGTGTGTGTGTGTGTTGACAAAGTGTCATAAAGCAGGGCAAACATCAGTGAAATTTACACAAACGGTGCATAACAAATACAACACAACACATATAACAACAGAAAAACCAGGCGAACATATCTTGCAAAAAACAAATAAACTACTATAAGACCAGAAAATGTTCACTCAATATACATGAAGCAAACATGGATATTTTGTGAGACCATGTGTCTTTGATTATTGATGGTTTTGCCTGAAAACAAGCCTGAGTGAAATGAGCAGCGAGTCCATATGGGCTGTGATGCTGAAATCAATCTGGCAGTCAGTCATAAAGCCTCCCAGCGGAGGAGTGTGTGTGTGTGTGTGTGTGTGTGAGAATATTTACACACTCGACTCGCGTCACGTGGAGCGCATGTGTTCAGTGAAAATTTGCAAGCTCATCTGCCAGTCAGATCAGAGAGGGAAAGGGAAAAAAGTGGTAGAGGAACGAGAAACACAAACACACACTGGAGCATGGCCAAGTATTCCCATAGAAATCTCACACTCGCAGACTGGCTGCGGCCCCAAAGTCAGCGGTTTTGCACTTGAAACGGCGCCCGCTGCTATTTTTGGGCCGTGACCTGCTGGAGGAACCCCAGAGGGAGAGACAGGAGAAGGACGCCGATTCAGACTCCTGTTTTAGCTGCCACACACACACACACACGCAGCGTCTGCATGACCCAGCTCTGCTCTAACAGGAAACAATCCTCGGCGGATTGCTGTTTATGTTGGCATGTGTGTGTCTAAGAGGAGATTCCTGTGTGTGACCCATGAGGAAGGTGTTTATTACCCGAGAGTGTGGCATAAACCCAGAGTCTTAATGTCTGTGCGTGCGCGCGTGTGTGTGTGTGTGTGTGTGTCCACAACATGACGCAATGGCACTTGGGAAAAGGGTTGGGTATCGAAAGCCGCTTCCATTTTATAACCGGTTCCAAATTTCCAAGAACCGGGTATTCGATAAGACGCGTGCATTTCGATTCGTGTATTTCCACTGTAGAAAAGGTTGTTCCGGGCCGAAACTGACTTCTTTCATATTTGTCGACCAATATGCAGAAAACTACGTCAGTATATCATCATAAACACAGCCGTTTTTGTCTTGCGTGAATGTAAACAGATGAGAAAGAAAACACACATGTACAGTATTTTTAGATCTGCGTGCATCCTGTGTTAAAGAGACAGCAGCCTAATAAACGCGCTGCATGTCATTAATATTTAAGAACAAAAGAAAATCATTCACTGATCTTGACTGAATATATTTAATAACTTTAATTGATTAATCAAGATTTTATGAAAAGAAAACTATGCAGTGCAACTTTTAATTACAATTTATGTACCTGAAATTTTGTTCAGTTGTATTTATTTATGATATTGCTAATTGATTTGTTTGTTCCTATCTTAATACTGACTGTTTACTTGTCTTTAACACTTTAATATTTTAAATGTATATTAATCTAGTTGTTTTTGCTGAGGTATTTTCTTTTAAAGCATAGGCAAAATTCCTCTTGCAGTGTTCTGTAGGCTGCTGATTTTTGCTCGTGTTATTCAGCTGCAACAGAATGCTTTGTAAAAAGACAGAATAAATGTTTGACTTAATTTTTTTTATATTGGATTGTTTATCTTATTGGAATCGAAACTAGGAATCGATAAGCAGAATCGGAATCGATAAAATTCAAACGATACCCAACTTGGGAATGTGATCTCAAAGCATCACTGATCCCAAAGCGAGGGCATTAATTAATGAAGAGACACTGAGGACTAAGGCTCTGTCTGTGTGTGTGTGTGTGTGTGTGTGTGTGTGTGTGTGT